TTTTTTTTTATTCTTTAAAGACAATAAAAATTAGTTTAAAAAATTAGAAGCAGTTCAAAATTTCACTAAACAAAATGATAGGAATTCAGCAATGGTTATTATATTGCATATTGCTGTCTTCTAATTAGTTTTTTAGGTTACCAAACATAAACATGCAAACTTTGTCAAAAAAAAAAAAAAAAAGTAAGAACGAAAAGATTGAGCTCCTTTCAGTGGACCAGCAGGAATCATCAGTGCAATGATCCAAGCCATCCTTTTCCCTTGCCCCCTTCCTTCCTTCCTTCCTTCCTTCCTTCATTCTTTCTTTCTTTCTTTCTTTCTTTCTTTCTTTCTTTCTTCCTTCCTTCCTTCCTTTCCCCTATCCCAGTTGTTCCTTCATTTTGCACGGCATTTCACAGTCTCTGTTCTACCTGAATTACAGTTTGATCATCGCCTCCTCACTTGTTTTGCTTTCTTTTCACTCCTGACCTTAGTTATTTTGGCTTTTTTTCTTCTGATTCTCCCCCCCCCCCTTGATTCATGTCTCCAGAGAGAAATCTTTGCAAAGAAATAATCTGAAACTTGCTTATTTCTACTTTCCAGTCATTAAGTGAAGTCTACTCTCAGTTTCACACATTTTTCTTCTGCTTCTCTAGGGGAACGTGTTTTTAGGCCACCATCTTCCATGTCTACACACTGATGGTTTGCTTTAACTCACTCTCTTCTTTCCTTTTCTAATATAACTTTGTGTACTTTCATTGTGTCTCCTTCACTAACATTACCTTTTATAAGTTTATATTTTATAGTGCTAACTCATTTCTTCTTTCTGTGCTAAGCAGAATTCATGATCTGACCCACTTCTTCCAGCAATAGAAGCAAAGCTTGGGAAAAACACAAATGAACTTTTCCTGTTGCAGTCATAAATTTGAATACACAAGGGACAAAACTGTGATAGCATAGACACCTTCATTAAAATACACGTTTCTTGGTTGAAAAGTGCTGCATAGCATTCTAAATTCAGCAAAAAGATAATTAGGGACACCTATTGAGTGAAGTAATGAATGGACTACAGGGAATGGATTTGGAAATATTATCTCTTGGTGAATTGATGCTTAGAGTTAGGGCTCTTCCCAAACCCTGAGCACTGACTCAGGAATCTTGTGAGGGACCACAGCTGTAGCTGGCCCTGCTGTCTACCAGCATGCATGGCCTTGTGCCTCGCAATAGAACAGTTGCCCAAGTCACCCACCTCGGCCTCTCCAGCACACCCGTGGGCATCTGGGCTTCCTAATAGAATAGCATCATGGCTCTTCTGTGTGCAGATCCCCTGGCCTGGGCATTGTGTCACCAACAACGTTGCTGTTTCCTATCCCAGCATTGAAACAAATGTGAAATTAGTCTCCTCCAAGGACCCTGTTGTGGGACATGGC